GGGGGGTGGCAGAGAGAGGGAGAGGGAGAGGGAGAGGGAGAGGGGGAGAGAACAGGACAACAAACGAGGGGCTGTGACAGATTGCTTCATCGGAGTTTCACCGACTCATCAGCAGGTTGAACCCGCTACAATCCACAGAGTCCCCTAACTGATGATCCTGAAAGTGATCATCCACCCTAAACTGCCAGTACATGGCCCCGGCCAATGGCCGGAGCGCGGGGCTGCCGGTTAACAATGGCTGGTGGCGCCAACCACAAATGAAAACAAGTGCACTGCTGGCGGCTTGGCAAAACTTGGTGCGAGGGGAAGTGTTAGCAGGCCCGCGTGCACTGGTGGGTTTTAACCCCGGTTGCGGTTAAGCATCAACGCCTACCTGGCGATTGATACCCTGAGGCGGGGACCATGCACCGTCCTCAAGGCAATCCCTGTGACGAAAATCAAAGCAGCCTATAATCCAACCACACCAGACAAAAAAACTCTACAGACCGCTGGTTCACACCCCATCACAAGTCAGCAAAACACACCCATGAAACAAAAAGGCTAGTCCGTCACAGCCAGAAAGTACAGCACTCCAGACACGCCGCTGGCCAGAGAGGCACAGCATGGCCATGCAGTGACGGTCCCAGCCACTGACGCTCACTCAACCTGACCTGAGAAAACCCTGGCAGGGTGCGCTGTCGAAGCTGTCGTATATATTGTCGAACAGAACTGCCCGGTACACCACCGGCAGAGAGGGAGAAGAGGACAAGAAACGACGGGCTGCGACAGACTAACATGCTGCACATGAACCTTGGGAAGTCGAGTCTTGCTTACCATTGCCAGGCAGGTGGACGGGGGACGTTCGGGTGGATGGACACAGGCAGGGAGGCAGGCAGGGAGGCAGGCAGGCAGGCAGGCAGGCAGGGGAACTGACGAGTGGGCGGCAGGTGGGCAAACAGGCAGGCACCAAAATGCCATCTCTGCGAATGCCTTCATGGATAGGATTTTGAGGTTCATCAGAAAAACGGCACGACTTAGAAGGCAAACCAAAGCTTGGCAGGCAGGTGGTGCTTCCTTACACAGTGCATATCAACTGGACAGAATCATCTGTGCTGTTCCTCAGCAAAATCGATCCAAATACGACGCATCCATCCCCTGCTCCAAAAATAGTAACCTGCCTGGAAAAGAGCACATGAGATTGTGAACATGCCGCTTTTAGATGCACAACAGTCAGACATACCGACTTCAAGATTGTTCTCGCTTGATGTGACGAAGGATGTCAAATACAAGCCACGAACGACGGACTCAGACCAAAAAGGGGATGAGAGAAACAGAGATGGCGAAAAGAGACCGCAATAGGAGCACCAAGACGGGGTTGATGGAGAGAACCAGAGAGGAGGTGGGAAAGAGGGGGGGGGAGGGG